CTACAGTTATCAAGTGTTGTATTAGTGAAAGGATATACAAAGTCTCTGTAAATAGGGAAGGATGGAGGGGGTGAAGGGAGGACAGGGAATGGGGAAAAAATAACCAAGATATATCATGCACAAGTACAAGTACCCAATGATAAATGTAAATGTGTTGTGTACCTAAAATGTATCAATAAAAGAATTTAAGGAAAAATAATAAATTTTTTTTTTAAAATGCAACAGAAGAAAAAGTCCAGAAGCAGTTTAGTATAGTGGACCCTTGACTTATGAACTCAATTTGTTCTCAAGGGCTGGTTGCAACTTAAGTTGGTCAATTGAAAGCTCAGGCTCCTCTACACAGCCTTCAAAGTCTCTCTCCTACATACAGGCAGATCTCAGTGTAGAGAGACACTGGCCCAGGATTTCTCAACCCCACACAGGAAAGGATGTTGTAATGTCCCTTACAGAACTCTTCAAAAGGGTTAAATCTGTATCTGAGACCATCTGGAAGCACAAGTGCCCAGCATTCAGGTTATAACTAAAGACTTTGGTCTTTAGTTATAACTAAAATTCCAGTCATAACCCCAGTTGTTTGTATGTCAGGCCAGTTGTAACTCAAGGGTCCACTGTATAAAGTCAATTGATTTTTGACAAATTTGAAAGGCAATTCAGGAAAGGATGGTGTTTGCAATAAATAGTGATGGATCATCCTATTTAGAAAAAAATTCCTATTCAGAAAAAAATACTTTCCATCTGTGCAAAACTTAATTCAATAAGGATTATGGCCTAAGTGTGAAACTTAACAGTATACAACTTGTAAAAGAGAACATAGTAAAAGCAATTTATAAGCACAATCCATAGTGTTAATGGGTTGTGTCTAGCTGTCCCCCAAAGCCTCATGCTTTTCAGTGGGGCTCTTCAGAGGTAGCTGGATCTAATGTGTGTGATACTGGGATTAACTGTGTGATGCTGTGATCAAGTGTGTGTGGTTACTAAATTAGTCCACTGATTGGTTTGGCACAGTTCTGGGTGTGGATAATGGGAAGACCATCCCTGGGTGTGAGTGCTGCTTGTCCTAAGGGCATTTCACTCGGATAGAACACAAGGGACAGAAAGAGGGCTGCTGATGTCACTGGCGTTCACCTGCTGTTTCAATACTTTGAGGCTTTGCTGCCTTCTGCCCCCATGAAGTCCTTGTCCTCTGTGATGCCCTTGTACATTCCACGCTGCCTTGGAGACAGTCAACTTTGAACTGAAACTTCTAAAAACTATGCACTACAAAAAAAACCGTTTCTCTTTTAACTTTGGGTGTTGGGTATTTTATCTCAGTAATGAGAAAAGTAAGAAAATAGGACAAAAATTAATAAAATTAACATTTGAGAAATCTTCTGCTACAAAAAGAAAAAGAAAAGCCACAAAATGAAAGAAAATATTTATAAAGTACATTTTCATAGAGGACCTGTATTCAAAAATATAAAGAACACTTAAAGCACAATAAAAATGAAAACAAAAATTTAGAAAATGAGCAAAGAGGTTAATCAGTTGCTTTATCAAAAATATACAACTAGCACATAAGCACACTGAGAAATCATTAATCATTAAGGGTACCACTACACAGCTATCAGATTAGGGGGAAAAAACCAAATGTGACAATAGTAGATGGTGGTGAAGATATGTGTCAACTGTTGCTCTCATACACTACTGGTATAAAAAGCAAAATGGCACACAGCCACTTGGGAAAACAGTGAGGCAGCTGCTTATAAAGTTAAATATACACTTACAGTTAAGGCTTGGATATAGCTATACCCCTAAAGCCTCATGTGCTCATAGGTGGGGCTTTTGGAAGGTGGCTTGATTGTGAGTGTGTGATACTGGGATTAAGGGTGTGTGGTACTGGATCAGCCCCACTAATTGGTTTATCATAGTTCTCGGTGTAGATAATGAGAAGGTCCACCCTGGGAGTGGGTGGCACCACCCAAAAGAGTTGTAGATTTGATGGGACAAAAGAAAAAGGGAGGCTGGCCTGCAGTTTGCTTCCTCCTGTCTGCTCTGTCATGGACTATCTCCTCTGTGATGTCCCTCTGCCATGCCACCCTGCCTTGGAGACAGCTGACTATAAACACTGAAACCTTTACAAACAGTGAGCAGAAATAAACCTTTCCTCCTTTAACTTTGGGTATCAGGTATTTTGTCTCAGCAACGAGAAACTAAGACACTTACTACATGATCCAGTATTTCCACTGCTAGATATTTACCCAAGAGAAATAGAGACCTATAGTAGCATTGTTCACAGTAGCACTGCTCATAATTGTTAGAAATCTGGAAATCCCAAATTGGATGATTACTCAATATTAAAAAGGAACAAGTTGGGCCAGGGATTTAGCTCAGTGGTTCCGCTGCCTGCCTCACAAGAGCAAGGACCCGAGTTCGATCCCCAGTACCAAAAAAAAAAATAAATAAAAGGAACAAGTTATTTAAAAAAAAACAACAAGATGGATCTCAAACACCTTATGCTAGTGAAAAAAGCCACACTCAAAAAGCTACACATAAAATTCTATTTATGACATTCTAGAAAAAACAAAATAACTGAGACAGTGGTCACCAATGCTAGAAGTGGAAAAAAAGCCACAAGCATATTTTGGGGCAAGTAGCATTACTGTTCCGTATCTTGACTACTAACTACAGTACTTATATGACTGATGTATCAGTCAGCTTTCAAAGCAATGAATACAATACCTGACACCCATGACTTAAAGGAAGAAAGGTTTTAGTGCATGGTTCAGGGGATTCAGTCCATAGAAAGGCAGAAACACCATGACAGAGGCATGGCAGCCAGGAAGCAGAGTGAAGGCAGGAGCAGGGGATGGAAATACACCCTCCAAAAGCACAAAAGCCCCAGTGACAGACCTCTTCCAACCTCACCTCACCTTCTAACAGCACATTTAGCTGTGAACTCACCAATGGGTCAATCCACCAATGACCACAGCACACCCATGATCCAATTATCTTCTGTAAGTCCCACCTTTGAACACATAAGATTTTTAGGGGACATTCTAGATCAAAACTGTAACAACTGCATTTCTTTGCAAAGGCATGTCACACAGGATAAATTTTATTGAATTAAATTATGCCTCAGTAAAACCAATTTTTAAAAAGTGACTCGCTTAATACTAAGTTTTAAGATCTGGTGAGAGAATATAAAAATCTTGAAAGATGAGTACATCCCAGTCGTCTCAAACAAGTTACATTAATCAAGGAAATTTGACTAATATTTGGTTTTTTAAAAACTGCCACAACTTCTATACTGTAGGAGTCAAAAGGCCTAGTTTGTGCCTGATTCTGCCAATTAAGAGATATAAGCATAGCTTATGTTATATAATAATTTGTCATATGTAAAATGAGAAAAATCACTCCTATTCTCAAGATGGCTGTAGCCAACAGAAGAGATGATAAGTGGAATATATGGGTGAGGGGATGAATCCCCAGCCCGAGGGGATGGGATAATAACACGTCAGCCAACCATACAGGCATACCTTATTATACCAACTCAATCAGGGTAAGACTAAAATTTCTTAATATAAATGGTAACAGGGAAGGGGAAAGGTAAATTCTGGGAAGCAGAATTAAGAAAGAAAAATAGGGATGAGTATAGCTCAGTGGTAGAGCATCTGCAAGGAGGAGGAGAAAGGTGGAAGAGGAGAAGTAGGAGGAGAAGACGAAGAAGAGGAGAAAGAAGAGCAGACAACAGGAATCACAAGTATATTTTTAAAACAGGATATTTGCTAATGAGAATAACAGGAAGCCTTTTGTAAATGTTTACTTTCTTTGAGGAGGGGCACAAAGATGTCCATTTCTGAAAACGATCATTGTAGATGCTATCTTTTGCATATTAATAAATGCAATCTTTTTGTTAAAAATTATCAAGTGCTGCTATGTTTCAGCATTATCTACGTATTAACTAATATTCACAAGAACGAAAAGATTTAAAGTTATTTTCAAAATCCACATGCTTACCTAAACTTTAACAAGTCCTCATATAGCAAAAGAAAAGCACTTTTATCAGTAATGAAAGTACTTCCGAGGAAATCCTGGAAAGATTATTTGCCTGCTGTACCTAAAATCTGTACCCTAATGTTTACAAAAGAACCTCTGATTTTGGGCTTAATAAAGTAATGTAAGAAACTAAAATGCTTACTCACTTTGCTAGTAAAGAAACAATAGTTTGCTGTTTAAGATCTTTTATAACCCTCTCAGACACAAATCACAAGCAAGACCCACAGAACCAATGCTGAACTGTGTTGCCCATTAGGGACAATAACTGTTTGAGTGTGTGTGTGTCCCCAAAACAGAGGAGGGCTAAATAAATGCTACAAGTGGGACACTAGGGGGCCCTTTTCCTATGCCCTATGATTTGGAGGGCTTTTTCTGTGGCTTTCCTCCAACTTATTCTTCCTCATAATGATTGTGTAGAACCTTCTAGAACACATGCCAGGATACTCAGCTTTGACTTTCCACCCAAAGAGTTCAAAAACTGACTCCAAGGTCCACCGTGCTGACAGACAACAATGCCACCAGGATATATGCTGCTCGGTGTGAAAGGTGTGCCGGTGGAGGGTTAGGGACTGGGCAGGTAGATGAATATAAAGCCCAAGATGCTAAGCCCCACTCATGCACCCAGGAACCCAAAGTGGTGGGAGTGGCCTCTTCAGTGCTTTTGCTTTCTAGAAAAGGAATTTGAAGACACAATCGTGGAGGAGAATAAGGGAGACAGCCATTACGAAGGCAGCCCAACACCTGCCATGGAGACGGAAACAAAGGCTGACAGGTGCACTGTCAGCCCCAGGAAAGGGCCTGGATGGGAGTGAAGGGTGCGATGCACACAGGATGAGCCCACACAAATGGCTGAGAAAAGCGCCCTACGCCCGCGGAATTCGCTCCGCAGAAGACGGGCAGCGCCCAGAGGCGGGTTTTGGGCCAGTGGGTGGCAACAGGCGCGCTTGGCGCAGTGCGAGCTTCAGCCAGTGAGTGGCGGTGGGTGGGACCACGGCTCAGCTGCCCAGCGAGAGCAGCACCTCTGCGGGACCGGTAGTCCTCTGCGACAGCCTCAGCCTCCGCCTCCGCCATGGCCGACGCGGAGAACCGGGGCCCCGCGGAGCCCAGCCAGGCGGCGGCGGCTGCCGGGGCTGCGGCCCAGGAGGTAATGGCCCAGGGTGGCAAGGCGGATGTCGCGGCCACGCCCCAGACCCCCTCAGAAAACTCGCCCAAGCCCAGAAATGACTTTCTTGAGAGCCTGCCCAATTCTGTCAAGTGCCGCGTCCTGGCGCTCAAAAAGCTGCAGAGGCGATGCGATAAAATAGAGGCCAAATTTGATAAGGAATTTCAGGCTCTGGAGAAAAAGTACAACGACATTTATAAGCCCTTGCTTGCTAAGATCCAAGAGCTCACGGGCGAGATGGAGGGGTGTGCGTGGACCTTGGAGGGGGAGGACGAGGATGAAGATGACTATGAGGACGAGGAGGAGGACGAGGAGGAGGAGGAGGAGCAGGAGGAGGAGCAGGAGGAAGGAGGTCGCCGCGGGAGCGAGCAGCGCCCAGGTGCATGAGGACGCCAAGAAGTAAGAGGGCAGTTCACAGGGAAGATGCCCAACAGACACCCTCCTCCCGTTATTCTAATATTGGTGGACTTTAAAAGGCTCAGCTTTTAGACCAAAAATACAATGTGAATTTATTCTGACATTCCTAAATTAAAGCAATTAGATCCTGGCCAGCCCATTGCAAATCTGACTTTCCTGTTGAACACAACAAAGATATCAAAACATATTGAAGGTGAATTAAGCTGATTTTCTTTTCAGCTATCTTTTGTAAAGACTGAAAATTGAGGCCTAAAACAGGTGTCAGAAGATGTGAACTAAGGAACGCCACTTTGAAACCCAGTCATGACCCGGGCTGAAGGCGTTTTCCATTCTTAATTCTTCAATTTCTTTAGGCCTTGCATTTCCCAATCCAGAGAAAGCAAACCCAAGAAAGATGCCAACTTCAAGACTTTGCCTTTCTAACCCCGACATCAGCTGTATGCTTCAGAGGAGAGATGGCAGACAGGAAACCTGTGATTGAGACCCTGACACTACTGCTAAGGACACTAAGAAAACTGCCATTTCAAGTTCTGATAGATGTTCTGAATATGTGAGTTTTGAGAAACAACATGGTCTCAAGAAGGAGGGTGTATAGTGTATAATATTGTCAACATATGTATTCATTAGTTACAGTCTCATGTTTATGTGTTTTCTTAGTATTGTCTACTTACAAAGGTGTAAAAACTACCCCAAATGTTTAAGTATTAAATCAATCTAGCATTTTAGAAATATAAATTTACTTGAAGAGAAGTATAATGTAGCAAATTATGTACAGCATGTGTATTCAGTGTTATGTAGTTTGATCTTTGTGAAGTCTTTCTGTCACGTTGCTTTTAGGGTATAACTGTGAAAAGCATCAGAACTCCTCACAGAAGCAAGTATGTTTGGAAAAAATATATACTTGAAGAAACAATCCAAGTGTGTGCCCCCACCCCCAGCTCAGAAGTAGAAAGGGTTTATGTTTGCTTATATTAGCTCTGCCTTCATTATTTTGCTATGTAAATGTAAGTAGTATAAAATGGTTCATAATCAAGTGTTACTGCTCGACTGGCATACAGGAAGGATTTTTAAGAACACATTTAATGTAAAAGACTTTTAGCTTCTTTGTGGGTTTTGAATTATGTGTGAGCCAGTGATCTATAAAAAATAAGCATAAACTTGTTTACCATTGTGGTGTTAATAAAATAGTATTTTCCCAAAAAAAAAAAAGACTCAGTATTCTGCCTGTATGTTCATCTATAAAAAAGGATAATAGTCTCCTCCTCACAATTATTTTGAAGAAAAAAAATACACACAATTGAGTTAATACACACAAGCCGATAGAACAATGTCTGACACCTGGTAAGTGCTGGATAAAATTTTCAGCTATTACTGTTATTATTACAAGAAAGATAAAGATACTGATTTGAAATTTAACCTTCCTCATTTCCTGTTACAAAAGGGGAGAAAGTGGGCATCATTACATCCCTAACATTTATGATTCCTTATTTCAAAGAATGTGCTTTTTAATTCAGAAATATAAAAAAATTCAATAAACTCTTGTTTTATCATCTCTATTTTTAAAGAGTTAAGCTTTGGTTTTCTTCCAGAAAGGATAAAAGACTTTAACGTGACACAAATGCACAAAAAATGCTATTTCAACTTTGGGTATTATGAATAAAGCAAAAAACAAAAAGCAAGACTCCAGAAAAATATAAAATCAGATGACAATCTTTCATTTCATTTAAGGGTTAAAGTTTCACAGAAACAAAATTTGTTTTTGTAGGGAATGGCATGTAGCTCTGACCTGTTGCTAGTAAGCACAGTTGGATACAAAAAACCTAAGGCAATGTTTATCTTTCCTATGGCCTGGCCAACCAAAAGAAAGTCAAAATAATATATATATAGGTCAAGATTAAGTTAATCACATAACTGTCTCAATATCAGCCAAAAAATAATAAGATACAATATTCATTTCTTATCTCTAGGAATGGGAGAGGGGGTCATTTATTATTTTTTAGGTCTGATAAAAAGCAAAAGTGATTAAAATACAAGTAAAGGGTCCACTGAGGATTTTTTGGGAGGCAGGCATGTGATTAAGGAAAACTCGAGAATCAACTGGAAAACTATTTGATAGAATCAATATGAGTTGATTGGTTATCAGATAAACAAATAAAAAACAGTAACAATGTCCAGGCACTTTTTTTTTTTTTTTTTTGGTATGAGGATCAAACTCAGGATCTTGTGCTTGTGAGGCAGGCGGTGGCACCACTGAGCTAAATCCCTGGCCCTGTCCAGGCACTTTAAAATGATCAAAATAATATAGGAAAGGTACATTTTGAAATAAGTCAAAATATTTCAAATAGCTCTAATTTAAAAAATGTATATAATCTATGTGAAAAGAAAAAACAGGATTTTACAAAGAAATGTAACATAAGCCTTTGGATTATTATAAGATTGAATATCACAAACATGATATTTCTTCCCAAATTAACTTTAAATTTATCAAATTCAAATCAAAACCCAAACTGGATCTGGAACTTAACATAATTACCCTGATGTGTTTACCTATAAAAACTGTCAAGAAAACATAGTAATTTAGACTTCTATAGACTCAAAAAAATTTTAATTGGAGAAAATACATTAAATATTTATCAATTACTGGACACAGAAAAGTTAAGGCTAGAATGACATACAACAAGAAATAATAGGGACTGGGGATTTAGCTCAGTGGTTTCTCTGCCTGCTGGGCAAGCGCAAGGACCTGAGTTCAATCCCCGGTACCAAAGGAAAAAAAAGAAATAACAGACATGACAACATAAAAATTAGAAAATTATAAAGATTTAAACATACATTTTATATCTTCAAACACAACAGACTTGGAAAATCTAACAACAAATATGGATAACAAAGGATTAACAGTTTTACTACATTAGAGTGCATACAAATCATGTGAACATTTGTCCCTTTAGAGAAATACATGATGGATATCAACAGGTTACTTTAAGAGGAGGAAATGCAGAGGTGGAATGACATGTTCCTATACTGCAGCACTAGAGAAACCTGGCAGTCTGGAGACATGTACTCAGCTGTGTGCTCTCACCAGCAAGCTTTCTTTTCTTTCAGCTATAGGTTTTCTAGCTCAGTCATACCCCCAAGGTCAGTCCTTTAATGATACAGGGATGTTTATGATTTCCTTCACAAAGTCCAGTGGTTCCCACTATTTCCTAAGTGGGCTCATCTTCACTCTGCATTTCCTAGACTGCTATTCTGATAGCTCCTCTGGCAACCATAAAACCTGCATGTTAATACCTGGCAGGATTACTTTCTCTTCAAGGCAAGTCAAATTCTATCACTCAATAACCATTTTAAACTCATTACAGGCCAAACACAATATAACTGGGAGATCAAAAGGCAGTCTGTATTTTACTCCCAGCCAACTCTCCAAGAGTATATGAGGTAACTGCAGCTTGCAGAGGCTGTGCATTCTCAGCAAGGCAGCTCTCCCTGTCTGCGGGTCTGCATTCCATGCACACAAACACTGAGGTGAAATTCATGGAAAATAAAACTAATCACTTTAAAGGGAACAATTCAATGGTATTTCATACATTCACAATCCTGTACAGCCACCACCTCTTTCATTCATTTTAAAATATTTTCAAAGTAGGGCCAGGGATTTAGCTCAGTGGTTTTGCCGCCTGCTGGACAAGTGCAAGGACCCTAGTTCGATCCTGGGTACCAAAAAAAATAAAAGGTTCATTAAAATAAGATTGGCTAAGATAAAAGATGTTTAAAAAAATAAAATATTTTCAAAGTACACAGCAGTGATGACCAAATCCTGTGTAGAATATGTAAAGTAGCCTACGTGTAAAAGAAAGGTAAAAACTGATGAATCAGATTGAATTTCTTGTTTCTTTGTAAAGAGAATAGCATGATGTAAGGACTCAATGACACAGTGATTCTCATAAACAGATGATGAAACTGGCAGAATTCTTTAGCAAAGTAAATTTAGCAAAAATATCTATAAACAGATTCAAAATTCTACATACTTTAATTCAATTTCATTCTTGGGCCTTTACATTAGAAACAAATTTTAAAAACCCATAAAAGATGTCTGAAACAGTCTTATTTAAAAATGGTAGTGGGGAGAGAGAAATAAAAAAAAAAAGGGGGAATAAAAAGAACACATAGGGCTGGGGATTTACCTCAGTGGCACCATGCTTGCCTCGCAAACTCAAGGCTCTGAGTTCGATCCTCAGTACAAAAAATAAAAAACACACGAACATGCCAAATAGCCTAAGAAAATATACCTTTTCAAAACAGACTACATAGCAACTATTGAAGTGCCCATGCGTTTTGTAATAACCTTTTAAACACCCTGTTAGCACTATCTTCACCTGTTTAAAAATTCAGACATTCAATTTCATACATATGTACTATGTTTTTAACTATGGCAGCCTTATCTTTAGAAAATTATATAGTCTGCTTGAAAGAAAAAGAGTCAACTCTTCAGTGGTTTTTCTTCCTGGGGAAAGAGGACGGGAGGGAATTCTCAAAGACCTGTCTGCAGCTCTAGGTGGGAGAACTGTGATGCTGATGGAGCACACGCACAGACTCAAACTGTCTTGGCTTTGAATCGTGGGCTGCTGACTGTATAACCCTGACTGACTGACCAATACCTCTCTCCAATGCCTCAGTTTCCTCATCTAAAAAGTGGCAAGGCTTGCATGTAAAGTACTTACGATAGTGCCTGATACATGGTGAGCACTCGGAAATGTTCCCGACAGTTTAATGACCTCTCTAGCAGACCAGTGTAAATAGAATGCAGACCTTAAAGCCTGCACCTCTCAGACTATTGCAAAAAGACAAATGAAGTATGTCACAGTACTAACTTCAGTAGATCTCAAGGGGCTACAAGTATTTGTCATGCCTGAATTTTATGCTCAGGTACTCCCTATGGAATCTGGGTGCCCTTTGGACCCCTTAGCTAATTAAGTCTGACATTTCTCATGGTGTAGTCCATTCACTTTCATTCTCATCCCCTACACCACCATGAGAAAAGGAAGAGAGGAATCTTATTTAATTGCCTCATACTGAGGTAAATTTGGGTGAATACATAGTTTTTTCATCAGTGATAATAACACCATGTTATATAGTCCAAGAAATACTTAACCCTGAGTACTCGTGTAACACAGTATTATCCAGATGTACTAAAGCATGGCAAGATTTTGGCTACACAGAGGACAACAGCCATCGGTCACATATAACCTTTCACCTGGACTCCTGTAATTTCTTTGTGCAGTTCTTGTCCAACGACAGAAATTGACTTTAAGACCAAATGGAAGGGAATAACTTATGGAGGTGGAGCTGGTATTCCTCTGGCGTTTTCCTCCAAGACAGCCATGACAATAAACATCCTACTGTGCTGTCAATATCTATAAATACAATTGCCAAGTTAAAATCCAGCAGGGGTTATTTCTGAGAGAATATTTTCATTTTTTAGTCACTTAAGATAGGACCCCAGTGACAATGTTACACCATAGAACAGATAAAAGAAATGACAACTGTAACGATTCATGTTTTACATCATACATCCCTTCCTAACAGGATCTCAAGTGACTTTGTTGATAAGATTTGTTTTATGCACAAAACATGAAATGAAAAAAAAAAATCCCTGTCTTTTACTGTTTGTCACTAACCACAACAGCTATAACTAAGCAGTATGGCAATAACCATACTAAGTTCTTAGAAGCTGTCTAGTAGTATTAGAACTCAATGCTTGTGCGTGCAATGTCCCCCCCCCATTCAAAAAGTTGGGGTCTTGAAAGATAATTCAGATTAGATGAAGTCATGATGGCAGAGTCATCTAGAATGTGATTAATTTCCTTATAGGACTCATGGGAAGGCCTGCTTCCCCTCACTGCTCTCTGCCTAAGAATATGAGAAGTTAGGGGCCAGGGATTTAGCTCAGTGGTTCTATCACCTGCCTCACAATGGCAAAGTCCCGAATTCAAAAAAAAAGATTATGAGGGAGTGGCTCTTTGCCTCCTTGAGGGGAATGGCGTGCCCCTGGGACTAATTTCCTAGGCTCCCCAACAGGACACAGACACCCGCTCATGAGTGGCAGATTGCCCAAACCTCAGACAGAAGACAACAGAAGGAGGGCTGCTGCTGTTGGTGTCTCATCTGTCTCTTTCCTTTGCTTGGATATCTCTGAGAAATTTTTTAAG